TCATTGTGGATGTACACATTGTCCTCGACTCTCGAGTCGAGTTTCGACTTTGATCAAGATAAATTCACAGAAGTCGGCCCGGATGAGCTGGCCATTGGTTGAATACACTTTAAATTGAAGAAGTGGGTGTGCAATATATTTATGTAATTATTTAGAAATTTTATATATGTAAATAAAAAAAAAAAAATAAATGTTCATTTATATACTCATCGACAATTCAATTCATAAACTGTTCAAGAAGTCTTCCTATTTATAATATTTCATTAACACCCTTTGTAGGGTATCTGTTAGTCAGCCCTACTCAACCATTCGCTTTCTAATTTTATTTCTTTTTTCTCTTTCTCGTGCTCAAAGACAAATTCATAAATATTTTAATTAAAATCGAGTGATTGTCGACAACATTGTTCTAAGTAAAAAGTTCTTTTTTCTTTCTTTTCAGTTTGGTTTTTTTTCTGCAAAAGTTGCAACTTCGCTGACATTAACGGGTCGCTGAGTAGCAGGATAACAGGCAGGATGAGTACCAGGACGTGTACAACGTCATCAGAAACGCATAACATTCAAAAAAGCATCGAAAGCCGGAGAGCTGCAAAAGTTTTTTGGCGCAAGTTCAGCGAAAGTTTTGCAGCATTGTGAAAAGCTGCAAAAGAGAAATTTAACTAATTCCATTATGCATACAAGAAGCACAAGAAGAAGCAGCCAGAAGAAGCAGACAGAAGAAGAAGTAATAGAATTTTGCAAATGTTAAACAAAAATGTGAAAACTTTGCCCTCGTTGCGGCCGGCAAGCGCAGAGAATCTCGTTCTTAAGTCTTTAAGTTCGCATCGAAAATGTAAAGCGCCTTGCGTTTATTTAAAATGCGACAGGACAACAACAACAACAACTCCTGCTAATGCCCATTAGTCGCGCCGTCAATATTTGTGACCGCTGTTTGCCATCAGCTCAAGTGATGAGTGTCAACTGAGTGCCTAAACGGCATCAACAGAGCTGAGTGCTGCCTGAAAGCCTGCCACAGGCTTAACAGTCAGCCAGCGCTCGAAGGTGCTGCGGGTCAGCCTGAGCTTGAATTTATTAACAGAAACGAAATGTGAGGCAACTAGACAGCTGACAGGCAGACAGCTGCAGCTCCAGCTTACTGCTAATGTGGATTTCAGATTCTTAACAGATTAACATAAGATAACATATTATTTCTGCTCCTGATTACTAACAGTATTTGCAAGTATTTTTCTTTATTTCAGATCGAGTGATAGTCGTAGATATAGACATATTTACATTTAACAGATTGCTTAACATATGCATCTATTTTTACTGTTAAATGACTTTATTGCTGATAATAGTATTTTGTTTAATATTTATCAACATTGTAAGTTACAATGCATTAACTTGACAGATTAATTAGCATAATAATCACTTTTCCCTCCCATACAATCCCTTCTCTTATAACTAATGCAACTTTTTTATTTAAAAAATAATCATTCAACTAACCCAATCTAAAGCCCTAATATTTCGCTAACAGAAACGTATTTACGCTATGCTAATTGAATCTCCTATATATTAAACAATAATTAACTATAATTATCTTATATAATTAACAGCATTTTATGCTAAGTTAATGCATGTCGTAAAGCTTTAGTAATTAAATATTTTCCTTGTACAATTCTACTTGATTCTATAAGCAGTTGTTTGTTTTTATGTGTAATAAATTTCTACATGGCCTCAACTTGTCATTCGCTTCAGCCGTTGGCATTTATTGTTGACTCTAGATATTTTATTTGCGACAGCTAAACAAGTTCTGCACAAGCGACCCTCAATTTTCAGACGAATTTCATGTTATTTGTACCTGGCGCATGTTAAACAGGGTAAACGGAAAAAAAATGAAATCCTATTGCTAACCGAAATGAAATCATTAAGCGGCGTTTACTGTCAACAAATGGCACGCAAACATTTCGAAAGCAATCACATCAAACCATAGGAAATAATAAAAAATCATATAGGCGGAAAACCAACTCCTTTGCTCCACCCTCCAGCCGCCTTCAGTTCAATCCTAGCTCCGGCCCTAAAAAAACCCACAACAAGTAGTCGACTTGCCGTGCAATTGAGTTGAAAGACAAACAAAGCGTGAGCTTTGCATGCCTACCTCTAGCCAGCCGAAGGCCCAGGGCCCGGGACCCGGGGGCGCTTAACAGGGATTGTTGTCTTTGTCTGCTGCTGCGGGGTTGCTGTGTGGCCACAATAAACGCGATTCATTCACTCACTTCTGCGTTTTCATTCACTCACTCAGTCAGTTCGTCAATTACATTGATTTCGTGCATTTGGTGCTCGAGCTTTATTTGCATTTTTGCCAGTCAAGTTTCCCATTGTATACCCTGTAGGGGGGCACAACGACTTTACTTCAATAGTTATTTTTCTATTTTTCTGATTTATCTGAGATGCTTTATACTATATATAGACTTGTAAATATATTCTACAGATTAAATATTTATTTATTTATAATAAGAAATTTGATTCATGTTTGACTCAGCAAAAATGATTGTAAAACGCGTATACTTAATATTTCTGAATTTTATATAAATTATATTTATATATAAATGTATATGTATGTATATATATTTTTTATTTATCAATGCTTGAATTAAATTAATATAAATGATTTTGAATTATTTTTTCTTTATTAAAAAAATATATATACATAATTTTATTTATTTTTATTTTTTATTTTTATTATTTAATTTAGCTTTACCTGTGTCACACATATTATTAAACTGATTAAGATGCCTCCACAGGGTATCTCAACGATTAAGCACTCTCAGTTATCCTTAGCTGACTTGTTATTTTTTGTCACCCACGCGGCGGAAACGGAAACGACGCCAGCGCCATCGCCATTGTCAGCGGTGACAACTCTGACAGGCAGAAGCTTGGCACATTTTGATTTCGCTGTCTGTCTGTTTGTCTCTTATTTAATAACACAAAGTGTTCTTTCTCATTTCACTTGATACTCGCTTTTGACTACCTTTTATTATTATTTTTCAACTGTCTTCCGTCTACTGTCTACTGTCTTCTGTCTTCTTCAATAACAACAGCGCATGCCACTGATTGACTTTGCCTCTGCACCATTTTCATTATTATTATGTTTTTATTATTTCATGTGGCTTGAGCTCCTGCTTTTTGTTACTTCCTTCTCTGAGCTTGTTTACTTCTATTTTATTTACTTTGACGAAATGTTTTTCCTATCGCAATTGTTGTTGCCATTGTCGTCGACTAACCTTTGCACAGCTATTGACATTACGCGCGGGCGTCAATCAAATACCAAACAACAACATTAATAATAAATTTAAAAAAAATTACAGATCTTGTGCGATTTTTATTTTGTTGGCTTTCATGTTTTATGATGCGTTAAAAATATCATTAGTATGAGCAGTTAACAGAAATCGATAAATAATGTCTTGTAGATGTAAATTTTGTATATAATACAACAATACAGATACAGATACAGATACAGATACAGATACAGATACAGATACAGATACAGAT